CATGAAATTAACTACAGTAGATAGTGTACGTCGTCCCTCGCATATTGCTTCATTCTTTCCGACAAAGGCCGTTGTCGCCAGTCAGCCAGTTGGTTCGCCTTATCCGCTTTATACCCACAATAGAAGTCTAACAGGTTCTTCAAACTATACCTGACAAATCGATCACGTGATCGATTTACATCCACCAACCCAGTCCCTGGACCATAGCCTACTACTACAGACAAGGAATATTACCCTCCACCGAGTTCAAGCACTCGAGCGGCCTGACCAGTATCGAACATGTTACAAAGATATGCAGAGAGGTCCCTTTGTAGCCACTGAACATCCATGTCTGCTCCATGCAGAACCTAGACGATGATGATAGTAATACACTGCCCATACCACACTTCCTTCACTTCGTACCTTAACAATGCCCGGGTCGCTCGTTATTCTATTGAAGTCGTGCATCTTCATCATTATACCCGGGGCCAAGACGTCTACTATATAGTCCTTCTTACGAGTCGCTATCTGATAGTAAAAAACAACCAAAAATAATATGGTCATACCAGGATTCGAACCACAGGCCTATCGTATGCGAGACAGGAATCTTAACCACTCCACCATCAAACCACATACCATCACCCACCTGTATAAGACACGTAAAGCCTCGATAGCTCTGCATATTATGATGCTCCAAATCAATAGCCACTTCACGTGCCTCCGCCAACTCGTCCAACATCTCATCCACCAACTCGACAGTATCAACCCACATCTGGCACCAACACACTAATAGTAAATCAGCGTCGAAATATATATTCGCTTCCCTCAGCTGAGCTTATTCAGTTACTCACTAATCATAGAATGTTTACACACGAATTAGTGCAGCAGTGTACAGAATTTCATAAAATTCGAAATTTTCACTCTTCCCCCGACACACGTATGTATCACCAGTTCAGCCTCCTTATTGGGTAGTTGTGGTGAAGGCGCCTCAACCACCCCATCAACCTCCGCATCAGCCATCTCTTGCCAAGTCCTTATCTCCTCAGCATATGCGTGGGGTAACGGGTCCGTTGATACAACTAAAGACACCCTTCACCGCGCCACGAAATTCATCACACATGGAAAGCACACACATTTCCGACCGACATAAATCGACATCTCACTCCACCGAAAAACGCCTTTATAAATTTCACAACGTCAGCGTCCGATACCCATCAAAGCCACCAACGACGATACCTACCGCCATTCTGAGCATCTAGAATCGCCTTAGGAACAGGCAGCTCGCTATTGTGTTTAACTCGCAACCTCGGCACCTAAACACGAACCTTCACAAAGACGTCCTCGAGCTGAGTGGTCGTTATCATCGTACGAATCTCGGACGATAGTTATCAACCAGCTCCTTGAAATTATCCTGAGGCCGCCACGAGAGCTCCTGCACCTCAGCTTCACGCCTGAGGCCTCCATCCAATCCTGATAGAAAAATCGTAAAAACACCACTAAACTTGATAGCCTCTACTAAACGATTCAGAATGACATTACCGCTTCATATGATTCGAAACTAAACTCAGGGCTGAGCACGGAAGTAATACCATCACCCAGCGAGTAAAGGAAGTTATTATGAATATGAACATCACCACATTATAGTCTTCACCAGAATCAACAACATTCAGACAAGTAGATTGCGAGGAAATCGACGATAACACTTCGTTGGCATTATGCGTATCATCACAGAGAATTTCCACTAGGCTCGTGAGTAGCCTAGACTATGACACTCCTTGAGAACAGACATCATGCTTTAAAGATTATATGAGCTCTCACATGTCCAGCAAGTCAACTCAGCCGGTTTATAGCCCTAGCAATAGTGACAGCAAACTCCAGCCTTCCTCACTAGAGGAGTTTTTCACAATATCAAGCACCGATACCCTCAAACGGAAACGCCCAGTCTACCAGAAACCGACCAAGAGCATAGCATATCAGCTCTATTGGAGAGCAATGCAACCTAGAATTCCCCCCATAACTAGTACCAGCTCCGTCTCGCGTGGCGTCCCCTACTATTTTATGTTCAGCAATGTCCTTGATCTTGAAGGCCTCATCAACTCTTCCAAAGAGGTTATCAATAGCATCCTCGAACTCACCCCAATCCCCTATGCGTTTGGCATGGACTTCAGGGTCGCTGATAAAAACATAAATTTAGTGA